CATGCTGGGATTCTGTGATTCCTGCCGGGCCAACCTCCCAGCATCCCAGAGCACCCAAAAGCTTGACTCAAGGCATATTTTTTTTTTCCCAACGTGGCAGCCACACCCACCTTTGCCTCCTCGATCATCTGGTTGGCGATCCCCTCGACTCTCTTGATCTCCTGGGTGGACAAGGCTCCCTTGGCAGTGAAGTCGAACCGCAGCCTGTCGGGTGCCACCAGGGAGCCCCTCTGGTCGGCCTCCCCCAGCACCGAGCGCAGGGCGAAGTTGAGGATGTGGGTGGCCGTGTGGTTGCTCATGACCGGCCTCCGTCTGGTCTAGGGGAGGAAGCCACCCTTTAGATGGGGTCCCACACTGTGGAGCCAAGACCACCTCTATCAGCAGAAGGGGAGGTTAACGTGCTGCTCCGCCAGAAACCCAAACGAGGTTTAGATTCCCTTCCACTCCCCCAGGGAAAGGGGCCAGCTCTGGATGCTGTTGCTGGCCCTCACCTTCCCCTAGCAGCCCTTGCACAGCCCCACCATCCCTGGGGCTCCCGCCTTGCTTAGCCACCTAACGTCTCCAACATGATCCAAAGGTATTATTTTCCAGCACCTACTTGTTTCTAAATCCAAGACATGCTGCGATCTGGTTATTCCAAAGAGGGACAGGAAAAGGGAAATTTCTTAAAAAGTATTTTTATGAATGATGAAGATAAATCACCTTCTTCAGAGCTGAGTTAGCAGTAGTCAGAGAAGCCACGATTCCTGAGCAGGGAGGGAACTCCTCCTTCTGCTCAGAAGACCAGAAACAACTTAGCACACCTGCTGCCTTGCAGCCTCAGCTAAGGGAACAGGACATTCCCCACCGAATTTGTGCATGGCTTTTCCCTGGCAGTGCCCTTGTCGGGCCTGTCTGGAGAGTGGCCAAGGACAGACGAGGTCAGTCACTGCTCCTCAGCAGGGAAAAGCACTGCAAGATGGAAACCTTCCCTCTTGCTCCAAAGGTGCTTCCTCCATGAGGAAGAGAAATGCATTTTGCAGATGAGGCTCAACCCAGTGCTTGCTCAGCAGGCTGAGCCCACAGGAGCAAAGGCTAGAGCAGGGCAGACAGCCCAGGCTCTCTGTCATTGTCCAAAGCTCAGGGGGGCACCACGCCATGTTCCACCTCCCAGCCATGACCCAAAACGGGTTGCTGCTGCTGCTCAGCAAAACCCAGTGAGCATGGCTCTCAGCCAGCTGGGCGTTACCTGCACCCATGGAAAGAAAGGAGACAACTTTTAATCCAGGTAAGGAGGCAAGGCCACGTGTGACACCCTGTCTTAACTCACCTCGTCGATAGACAGGTGGACCTGATCTCCTACTTTCAAGCTCCCATAGAGAGTTCCAATGTGGAGCACATACCCTCCTCGGACCTGCACGTTCTTCACAGTGAATTCTGTTTTCTGCACAAAGAGGGAAACACACCCAGTGAGCAGGGCGAGAGGAGACCGACAGTCCGGGCAGAGCTACGAGCTGCAGCCGGGAAGGTCTCAGCTGAGAGCCAGACTGGCGTGTGGCAGGAGAAAGCTGAGTGTCCCCTGGCACAGCACACGGGGCAGCCAAGCAGAGAAGCAGATGAAGCTGGGGCAGGGTTATGGGGCATGGCAGCAGAAAGAGCTCCCAACCTCGGCTCCAAAGCGTGATCCCAGCACCACCAGCACCGCAGCCACCCACGTTCTGGTGACAGCCTGATGCTGCAGCACAGAGTTCTGTACCCCAAGGAGCAAGGGGAACAAAACTCCAGCGTATCTGGCCCATGCTGCACACCCAGAAAAGGAAACCTGTGCAGTGCCTGATGCCAGAGATGGACAGGACACTGCTGGAGCTTGCTTGGCCCCTTCTTCTCCTCTGCCCAGGCCAGGTTGAGTCTTGTGAAAACCTTTCATGTGCACTCACATCCTCCCTGCTGTCATCGTCCTTCACCATGTAGCCCTCATCATAGATCTGCCCGCCCTGCTCGGCGTAGAAGCAGGTCTGGTCCAGCACTATCCCACATTCCTGGCCCGTGGACACCTCCTCCACAAACTTCTTCTCCCTGCGGATGGCTTTCACTGTGGCCACGAGACTCCCGAAATCTGTCACCGGGATGACATGCAGTGTCAGTAAAAGAGAACCTTTTCAGACACCTTGCAGACATCACATGGGAGCAGAACTTCAGGGCAACACCTCCCAGCTACTGCAGGAGCTCGTGGCACAGGGGAAGGAGAAAGAACTAGGGCAACCATTAATTGGATAACAGGGAATCTCAACCAGTGCTCTCCAAGAAAGGGACTGTCACTCCCTTCCACACCCATGCAAAGTCAGCTACAAGCCTGAAGCCTCCTGAATCTCCATCAAATCAAAGAATAAGCAGGAAGAGCAGTTAGCCAAGAACCCTCAACAGATCAAGCAGAACTGCAGTCTCCTGCAGCACTGGCGAAGGAGCAGCTGAGAAAGGCAAACACGGGAGTGTGGAGACACAAAGCTGAAGGGAACAGGAATCCCCTTCAGTGTGCAACAATCGACCTGAGCAGGCTTCTCTTCCCCTGCTCGATTTGTACTCCACTCCCCTCTCCCAGGAAAGGGGAACCCAGAGGGGATCTTGCTGAGGTACATGCCAGGGAAGGTCTGGCAGCAGAGGGCAGTTCTGAGGGTTTTTTTTCCATACCATAGGTACCACTCAGATCTGAAGCGTAGCTGTATTTTGGCGAGTCGTCAGTCACCTCCAGCCCTCGGGCCCGTAGCTCTTCAATAGCATAGATGTCCAGCATGAGTAGGTCTTCCCCTCCAGCACCTTTGCCCTGGGATTTGAGCTGCCAGAGTTTGAGAAAACCCACTTTAGTGCTGGCCCATGCACACCAGCCCAGCTACACCCCTCACTCGCCCCCCTGAGGGGTCCTTGGTTTAGAGCTTGCCCCAGGCAGCTGTGTGCCAGCAGCTGGAGCACTCCCATCTTCTCTGGTCCTGGAATGGGCTGTCCCAGCACTACCAGTGTGCAGACAAAGCAGCTTGAGCCCAGCAAGGGCAAGGACCCACCCAGCCAGTCAACGCCACCTCCCGCAGCTTCAGCCCACGTGCTGGAAGAGGCACCCTGGACACTGCTCCTCAGTCAGGGAAGATCCAAATTCCCTATCTGGAGCGGGACAGCGGGGACGTATTCCCAGCACTCCACTAACCCGGTCAGAAGGCTGAGCTCAAGGCTGTGGGCCTCACAGTGCCAGGGAGCAAAACCAGCCCCAGCAGGTCAGAGAAGTCCCACAGGCAGCGTGGAGCTGTGGCCTAGTCTGTCCCACGCTGGGTAAGAAAGGAGCAGACTCAGGACTGCAAACCGTGAGGAAGGAAATCCTCCCTGCCCGCTCTCAGAGCAGCTCCCCTCGGAGCTGTTCTTTACCTGAGCATTTTTCCTCTCTTCCTCAAAGCCCTCCATGTCCACCACGAGGCCCTTCTCCTCCGCAATCAGCCCGGTGAGATCCGCAGGGAATCCGTAGGTGTCGTAGAGCAGCCAGGCAGTATCACCTTCAGAGAAGAGAGCAGGGCAGTCAGCACTTCTGTCCCACAAGGCACTGCTCCTCTCCTGCTCTCCAACCAGCTGTCCCACAGGCAGGATGGCAAACACGAGTTTGAACACCTACAAGGCTACTCTCTGACACAGCTCACAGCATCATGTTGTGTCTGGGCAGCTTAGAAAGCCAAGCAAGTAACAGGACAGATGGGTGGCCCAGCTCCATGCATTGGTTTTTAACTCCAGCTTTGTCCCCCTACACTATCCACTGTGTTGCAGTTTCCAGCCCAGCTGAGCCCTAACTGGGTCGCAGATAATAAATGGCCTTCAGTGCATCCAGACAGAAGCCACAGACCTACCAGGGATGGTTTTACTGTCCCCCAGGCTCTGGATCTTCCTGTCCAAGATGCGACGTCCTCTGCTGAGTGTTTTCAGGAACTGATCTTCTTCTTCATTGATAATGTCCTTCACCATGTCTGGGTCCTTCTTCAGCTCAGGAAAGGCATCTCCCTGCAGACTCAAGAGGATTAACCCTTCAGCACGGAGATTTGAAGTCTTCAGCAGGTAACAGTGAAGGAGAAGAACTTACCAGTGATTGCACCACTACATCAACCAGAGTAGCAAAGAAACCCTTGGGGGCATTGAGCTTCTCATGGGAGTAGCGCACAGCCCGCCGGAGAATCCGCCTCAGCACGTACCTAGGGCACAGCAGAGAAACCTTGCACCTCTGAGTTGCTCTCAGGAGATCCACCAGCACCCACCTACCAGCACCACCTCCCAGGACCAAGAGCACAGGGTTCCCTTCCCACATTTTCTCTCCAGTACCAGGCCAGCGGTGGGGCGCCAGATCCCAGCTCTGTGACCCAGACTTACTGTGTGCTCCAGAGTCTGACCTGTGAGCCCAGCACAGCAACCCCAGCCCAAATTCAACAGTTTCTTTGACAGTAGCACTGCACCCCACAGGGTTTTGTGCCTGTCTGCCCACAGTGACCCTTTCTGGGGGCTGACCCAGCAGGACTGGTACGTGCAGAACCCTCAGACCTCTGCCTAAGCCTTTTAGGCGGACCTTAACAGTTGGACTCGATTTTCCAGGTCCCTTCCAAGCCCAACGGTTCTATGACTGACTCTTACCCTCTGCCAGTGTTGTCAGGTCTGCCCCCGTCGGAGAGGGCCAGCGTGATGGTCCGTGCGTGGTCAGCCAGCACGCGGTAGGCCATGTCGATGCCATCGGCGTCCTCGGCGCCAACCCGCCCCATGTAGGGCCTGGCACCCGTGCCCTGTGCGGAGAGAAGGGGACCGGGATGGACGCTGGGGACCGGTAACGTGGCAGAGCGAGGAACGTGGTGGTTGGGCCACAACAACCCTTGCTGCAATGCTCCAGGGCTTGGGCAGAGTGGCTGGAAAGTGCCTGGTGGAAAAGGACCTGGGGGTGCTGGTGGACAGATGGATGAAGATGAGCCAGTGTGTGCCCAGGTGGCCCAGAAGACCACCAGCAGCCTGGCCTGGATCAGCAGTAGTGTGACCAGCAAGACTAGGGCAAGGATTGTCCCCCTGGACTGGGCACTGGGGAGGCTGCACCTTGAATCCTGGGTTCAATTTCAGGCCCCTCAGTCCAAGAAAGACTTTGACAGGCTGAAGCGTGGCCAGAGAAGGGCAACAAAGCTGCTGTGGAAGGGTCCAGAGCCCAAGTGTGGCAAGGAGCAGCTGAGGGGCCTTGGGGAGTTGAGCCTAGGGTGAGAGTTGACCTTGTTGCTCTCTACAGCTACCTAAAGGAGGTTGTAGTGAGGCTGGTGTTGGTCTCTTCTCCCAAATTACTGATGATAGGACGGGAGGAAACGGCCTCAAGTTGTGCCGGGGGAGGTTGAGGTTGGCCCTGAGGAACAATTTTTTCCCCCTGAGGGTTGTCCAGGGCTGTGCCAGGCTGCCCAGGGCAGTGGTGGAGTCTCCACCCCTGGAGGGGTCTCCAAGCCATGGAGATGTAGTGCTGAGGGACATGGGTTAGCAGCGTCAGAGTTGGCAGAGGTAGGTTAATGATGGGACTTGATGATCTGAAAGGTCTTTGCTAATTTAACAATTCTAGGAAACGTCTCCGAAGCCAAGGCCAGCCCTCCCTGCAGCCACACAGGAGGGACACTCCTCTTGGAAAGAGGTGACTTGGTGAAGCCAGGGAAGACCGAGAGCTGCAAGGCTCTGCCTGGTGCCAGGGCCACATCTCCAGGGCCACAGGATCTCTGAGACCAGAGGGATGAAAAGTCAATTTATCCAACATTAAGAGCCCAGGACAGAAGAGAGGCAGTGGGACAGAGTGCAAGGAAATCATGGTTTGCACATTGGCTCAATGACTCCAGCCTGGCACAATCTGACCAGCCAAGAAACATTTCATGTTCTGTTATATTGAAGATGGTCTCAGATTCCCACTTTTAGGGGGTTTT